TCTAACTGCAGGAGCAGGGGTGGTGGTGGGAGGAGGATCGAGACGATGAGGCGGGGGGAAGGGGGAGGGGATCTTCCACCAACAACAATGACAGGAAATCAGCAAAAATGTCCTGGGGTCTGTGCACAGGCCAAGACTCCCACAGACACGGCAGAAGTCAGCCAGAAACACACCCCTGACCATCCTGGCTCAAATAGCTCACGTAGGCGTGGTCATCTCTGCCGCTAATGCATGACAAATAATCGCTGAGGGTTATTCTATTAACAGAAAGTCTCATCCACAGGCCGTCCCTGAAGCCATGACACCAGATATCAGTGAATGTGAGTTTGATAATGGTCGATTGTAAACTCTCCAGACTCAAGTCTGCAGAACGAGATGCGACAGAGCACAGATAAGAACGTCACTTTGACTGGATGTTGTCCCCTTTTGTCCCATAAATTACAGACAAGTATTCAAACCCTCGGCTGAATCATTCCTGCAGCGTTTTGCCCCTGTGGGGAAAAGCTTTTTAACTGTGACTGTGAAAACACATGGTTAAGTTCAGGGTTTGCTTCAGGCGACACACACATACACACACACACTGACTTGACTGACGGACCATGGACAGCCCATAAAAACCAGTTAAGAAGACCACTGTCAATCCCGACCATTCAGTGAACATACACACAAACTCAGACCGGAGCGTCGCACAACACAACAGTGGATGAAGGTGATTTGTTTCGGGATAACACTCCCAACCCACGCTCTCTATGTAAAGCCAAGCATGTGTGGTGAATGCAGTCCAAGCTTTGAGCTCTTTAATTACTAGGTTTTATATGAGAGTGCAGATTAGAGGAGAGAAACGATAACCAACAGAGAGGATGGACTAAAAAAAGTCGTCCTCTGTCTCGATGCTGTACATTCAAATACACACTTATAGAGGGTCTTACAAACACACACACACTCTCTTAGAAAGACGTGCCTACGCACCAGATCTCATCTAGCCACAGTCAATTTCATCCGACACAAGCGCTCTTCCTCTCCTGTAATTAGTGTTTAAAGACTGCGGCTTATGTAAGCAGCCTGCAGTCACAAGGAAGACTCCCAAAAGCTTCTCACCCTCACACTCTCCGAATGAATCACTGCCAAAAAAAACAAGCACAGTGTGATGCTGGAAAAATACATTTTGGTGGTTTTAGCAAAATTTATATTTGTGTTTGAGACGCTGCTCCATTTTATTAAAATTATTGAAAAAATATAGATAGATAAATCAGAAATAAATAAAAATATATTAAAAAGTACAAATGTGTATAGAGGCTATATGCTTCCTCAACCATAATTAAATTGTTAATTGACCAAAAACAAACCTCCTCAGTGCCCATCATACCTAACAAAACAATCACAATGTGCAAATAAATGAAAACAAAGAAGCTGGAATCAGAAAATTTGACGATCAAAACAACCTGTCAATCAATTGATCATAAGTAACTGCCTATAAAACCATCTCCGGCGTGAATTTAAGAAAGATGGAAAAAGCACAAATGTTTGGAGCTGAGAAAGCGTTACCACTTCACTGTGTGTGTGTGTGTGTTTGTGTGTGTGTGCGTCTACTCCACCAGTAGAGTAACATTTTACTGCCTGGTAAACTTAACAACGACCTTTGGAACCGATAATGTGTTTTGTGTACGCTGACGACAGCAGGACTTATTTTCTTCCCAGGGCCGAACTCCGCGTTTTGATCGCTGCTCATCTATTTTCGCACCTCCTCCGTCTCACATTCGCCTACCTCCTTCCTCACACTTGCATAGCCTCCACATGGATGGCACACACAAACACACACACACAAACACAT